AGCGGTCTTTCCCAGATCTCCTCTCAGATACCCTAATAGAGGTCCTCGAGGGTTCTTCAGAGTCATTGGAAACGCGGATGAAGCCTCGTTAGCCCGGATTAGTCCACGGAGTCCTTCGGTCTTCGCGACTTCGCGGTCTTTTCGAATGATACTCCTGCAGGGACGCATCCCTGCTGACGAAAAAAGGCACTTTTTCACGCACAGCTATGGCAAGTGTCGAAAATAAGACACGTCTTAACGTATCGAATATACAAAAATTAATTTATCAAGAGAAATAGATGTGTCTTTAAGCTATGCGTCGGGGAGGTTCCGGGAGTGCGTGAGATTTTTGTTTCACGCGTTGGATAGGAGTTGGGGGGCTGGGACTAGCCGCAGTCGCGTGTTTCTTTCTTTCTTCGCTCTAATTTTACCTCTCTACGCGAACAGTCAAAATACTTGGGATATACCTTCCTTAACCCCTTGACTAAGGCAGATTTTGATACACAACGGCCGTACCATACGCAGGAATTGAGTTACGATGTCCGCCATTTTTATGAAAACAAGCGCCCTCCGTGTCAGAAAGCTAAACTACGCCGAGCGCCCATAGGCGCCCTCCGTGTCACAAACGCAAAATTTCTAAGCGCCCATAGGCGCCGTGTCAAACGCAAAATTTTTAAGCGCCCATAGGCGCCCTTCGTGTCACAAACGCAAAATTTCTAAGCGTCCATAGGCGCCCTCCGTGACACAAACGCAAAATTTCTAAGCGCCCATAGGCGTCCACAGTAGCCAAGGGGTTAAGAGAGAATAAAGATAATTATAATATAACGATAATTATTTCTTTTTACCCATAATCCCAATCGCAAGGGTCCCGAGTCAATGGGGGTCTGGTTATCTATTCATTGCTCATTTTAGAATTGTAATGGAATTTGGATAATCAGTGAATAGATTAATTCAGTGGCTATAGAACGATGTTGATGGCTATATTCTATACTGTATTGTCAATTGTTAACCCTTTGCACTCGGTGATTATTTTCATTACAAAGAAGTAGCAATTCAAAGACTTTCTGCTGTAACGTCGAGGATATTTTTGAAACGGTAAATAAGGAATTGGGTATAAATGAAGAGTTAAAATTATTTTATTTCGACATTCCGTGCAATCTTAAGTTAGTTTAGATTTGATATGTTAATTAACCCTTTAGACTCGAAGATTTCTTCGCTGTGAAGATGCAATTCGAAGCTCTTCTTAGATTTTTATAATTCACTGATACTCTTTATGCTAAAATTGCAAAAAGAAAATCGTGAATTTGCGTGAGAAACGAACGAACATAATAATTTTATTCCGATGTCCTTAATATAATTATCATCATTCGTTATTTAAGTTATAGCGTTAAAACAAACGGTGATGGAGAGTCACCTCTCGAGTGCAAAGGTTTAACATAGGCTTTCGAAATTTGATTAAACGGTGACTTAGGCTCACCTCTCGAGTGCAAAGGGTTAATATCTCTGGCGATAATTGATCTATCCATTAATCATTCTAGAATTGCTATAGAATTTAGATGATAAGTGAGTAGTTTAATCCAATGGCTATGGCACTGCGTAGATGGCTATACTCAGTACTGTACTGTCAATTTATGTCTTTACGACCACCCCCATGACTCGCGGACACGCTGACCATGACGTATTGGTAAATTGCTTTGCACTTTCTTAAAAATTTGTTACATCGATTCGTTTATTTAAAACCCCTCTACGATAATCCATTCATTTTTCCAACTTTTCCTTTTCCCTTTTCCATCGGGAAAATCCATTCGTGAACGTCTCCCTTGGTTCTAGACGCTATCTCATGCCAGGGTCCAATGTTTCTTCAGCGGAGAACTGGCCGAGTTGGACGCTGCAACCGTGAATCGATCGGTGGCTGGGAAATTTATAGAAACGCGTTGAAAAATGGTCAAGGACCGCAGACGGTAACGATTGGCCGGCGAATATGCGCAATGCAAAACGCGAAGTAATAAAAGCACACGACGTGGAAACGAACAGAAGACGTGGAAGTCGAGGACGTCCCGCAGGAGGTCAGCAAAGGCCTCACGGAAGGCCGGATCGGCCACCCGGCTGGCCGTACTATAAATATTTCATGTTAATCGATATACGTGCACACGGAAGTGTGTCATGCACGTTGTCCTATGACTCGACACAATGCTCCACATACGGCCTGCGATCGTTCGTCGAACGACCTCGAGCAAGTCGAACATTTGCCTCGTCGTTTCTTCTTTTCCTCCTCGCGAGTTCCTGGATCGTGGCCGATTTCAGGTTAGATCGATGCGAGATCCGAAGGGGGAGGTAAGGATTGGAGGTTCGAATCTGCTGGACGATATATGCATAGGACGTATATGGTATTATATACGCGATGGACTATTTTTCTTGAAAATGTGTCGCGACGACTGGCGCGGAAGGCGAATTGTCAACGTCAATTCGCGGTACTGAAAAAGTCACGACTGAGTTCTATTTGCGTGTTGAAATCGTCTACTGTCGGCTATAATCGGTTAAAGATCGCTTTCTGTTCGACTTGTTGGTTATTCTTGGTATACAGTATAGTATCGATGTTTCGAGGGTTTGGTTAGGGACACCTGTGGGTGAGTACTCTTCGTCATGTTACGTAGGGATGAGAAATATTTGTCTTTGCAGTGTGTTAAAATTGAAATGTAAGATTACCTGTCGTCATTTGATAAAATTCCGAACATTGATATCGATTAATATATTGAATTTAAATTTTTAGTTGTAGGATTACGTGTAGATAAAATGGCACTTTCAGTCGCCATTTTATAAAATTCTGAAGATATTAATTAATTTGAAATTTTAATCTTCGAATTTTTATTCCTCTCTGACGAAAAATTTCATTGCAAGATTATGTGTAGATCGCAGCTTCAGTCGCCATTTTATGAAATTTCGAAGACTGATATTAATTAATTTGAAATTTTAATCTTCGAATTTTTGTTCCTCTGTAGCGAAAAATTTCATTGCAAGATCACGCGTAGATCGCAGCTTCAGTCGCCATTTTATGAAATTCTGAAGACTGATATTAATTAATTTGAAATTTTAATCTTCGAATTTTTATTCCTCTATAGCGAAAAATTTCATTGCAAGATTACACGTAGATCGCACCTTCAGTCGCCATTTTATAATATTCCAGTGACTGATATTAATTAATTTAAAATTTTAATCTTCGAATTTCTATTCCTCTGTAACGAAACAACCCTCTAGTGCTAAGCATTAATACTTCCAGACGAAAGTTCCAATGTTCCAGACATTTCGACGAAATTTATGCTACTTTTTAGATATAAATATAATTATATATAATTGCCTTCGACTTTTCATTAAGATTATTATCACCTATAATAATATTCATTTAACTTCACGTCGTAGATCGGTAATTCTAACGTTGATACAGGGATACAATTTCGGACAAATTTTCCCTCGTTTAGATTGCACCTAACCCCTATAGTGTCAAGGTTAATTACCACAAGCCTATTCCACGATAGCATGAATTTTGCAAAGCACTATAAACTACCAGACTAGTATATCGAGGAGCGAATTTGCTTTGGAACTGAAGGAGATACGTTCATAAATTGAAACTCGATTAATGCGATGAATTAGCTCAAGGTCTAACACAATACGCTCTTATGAGCCAACAAAAGTTATGAATTGACTTTGATCATGACGTACATACACTCGTACAGATACTACGTTCGACAACTGCAATGTTTAAAACGATATGGTACAAATAACAAAGGGAGAATTTCAGAATAATAATTCTACGACGCATACGACATTTATTACACATTTATCGGAGATACGTGCCGTGGTGGCGCTAGTGAGTTAAGTGGAAAGTCGTTTCGCGTAACAGAACATAATAAAACACTATATTTCCAATCAACGATGCTTTCCACTAATATTTTACGTTATCTATGCAATATTTGTGCAATTCATCGTTGATTATATTTATATATCGTTGAATTATTTTCTAATTTTAAACTCCTATATTACATATCAAGAGCACACGTAAACGCTCGAGGAGTTACCATAGATATCGCAATTTATTTTCATTGTATCCCTTTTCCATTATTATTATCAACGACGTTACACTCTCCGAAAAATCGATAACGCGTTAATTAACGCACCAAATATTCTCACCCCCGTTTCCCCCTAGCCTGAATTCGGTTATTCACCAAATGGCGGAACGCGGGGCGGAATTTGTAGCGAAAGAGATCAGCTCGCGAACTCTCCGCGCTTTTCATCGCGTTTCCCTTCAATGGAACGCGAATTTTCACTCTCGCTTCGAACGCAGCAGCGACTCGACTTTCGGGGTAGTTTCAGGGGTAGTTTCAGGGGTAGTTTCGCCGGCCACGGTACTTTAATACCCGGTGTCGGTGTATACATCCGTGTCCACGGGACGAATCCACGTTCGATCTATTTCGGTGGAGTCACCTCTCTGGATCGCTTTTAACGCCAGCCAAACGGACCTTTGCCATTTTCGAAGCCTGAATGGCGGAGTGGCCGCTATATCCGCTCAAGTTTCAGCGGGGTTCGTGTCGATCTTTTTATAGCCCGACGAATCCGTGACTTATCCTCGCTATACTGGCAAAAATATTTTCGTGCTCGCAGTTCGCGTGCACTCGCGAGACCCGCTGCTATTCTTCGTTGTTTACCTGTATAATCGTCGATCGTTCCCGATCCTCCCCGATCTTTCTCGACCATCCACGTCCGAGACATCGCGAGGATCCGCGGTTTTAACGACTCCAACTTCTCCAATTTTTTTACGACCCCTCCATTACCCGTCATAAATTTCCCAGGACACTTTCCCGGCGAAAATTCTAATCGAACTGTGCGCGCGGAGGCGAGTGGGAACTTTACGAGCTCATAAATATGGCAGCGCGGATCAGAGGAGAGAAAACGTTTAAAAACTCTCGCTGATAATTAACGCTTCGAAGTCTCTCGGATATTTCTCTGATATCGGTGTTCCTTTGCAGAGTTGCTGGCGAACAGGACGGGTCACATGGTGGGCGACTTCGAGAAGCTGGGCCAGTTTTACAACGGCTGTCTGGGATTCAAGGAGAAGCCGGTGAATTTCACGCCCGGTAAGTCTGAGTTTCCTTGCTTTTTCGTTGAGAAAGGAGATAGGCAACGAGTCGTTGACGGAAACGACGCTGGGCGTCGTTGCGTCGACGAAGCTAACGACGCTGTTTCCGCGCACGATGCGTCACAACCACGAAAACGAAACCGTTCCCTGCGACCACCCCTTCGAATCGAGTTTGGCACGGAATACGAGGACCATCGCGCGTCACGCACCCCCGCGACTTCCGGTTTCCGGTCTCCTTCCAGCAACGCTTCCACGCGAGTCCGATAAGTACCCTGGAATGACTATGACAAATTTTTGTTTCGCGTTTAGTGTAGGCTGTTTAAAATGGTTTCTAGAGTTGGGAAGTTTATGGTAATTTTTAGGATGGGAATTTAATTTTTAAATTGGGGATTTCTTATCTGGGGATCCGCCCTGTTGAATAGCGAAGGCAGTCGTGAAATTTCTTGCTGGGTGCCTTCTTCTGAGTATGCCGAATTTTTAGGGGTACTGAGCACTTGGGATGTTCAGTTGGGGTTAATAAGGCGCAGTTTCGAATTGTATTTACAGTTTATTACACGATTATGATTTGATTGATTGATGTGGGTGTGTTTTGTATGTCGTCTTTGCCTTCTGCCGTTTTACGTCTTGTGTCTTTCGTCTTTCGTTTTCTGTCCTCCGTCCTACGTCTCTGACTTCTCGTTTTCGTCTCTCATGTGTTCTGTTTTACTTTCAATGACCATCTAATGTGTTCTGTTTTACTTTCAATGACCATCCGATGTGTTCTGTTTGACTTATAACTGTTCTAATTAATAATCTATTGTTCGCAGAGATAACGCGCGAATAAAAATTTTTAATGACGTCGAACGGGGAAGTGGTGGGGGAAATTGAAGAATTTGCACAGGAAAATTTATATGATTTCGATGTTAAATTCCGCACGTGCCTCGGAAAATCTATAATTGCTGGAATATTATTCCATCACATTCGAAGCTAAAATTAAATTATTAAATATGGGAGAAAATTTGAAATTGGAGGAAATATTTGAATTGATTTAACGTTTTATAAATTTATTCTGCGTGAAACAGATATATCGTGGCAAGCTGGAATTTAGCGTCTCTCCAGTCTACAAATCGTGGCACTAGGGATTAATTTCACCAGATTCGAATTAACCGCGTCTTTATCGCAATGCAGCTCGGTTACAAAATGGGGACTCTCGCGGGAAAACTGGCCACGATATGGAGACATATTTTGATCAGTATAGAAATTTTTATTATCAAATTTGAGCATTGCTGATTACGAATTCCAAGTCAAAAGTAAAAGATGCCAAACAAGCGGTACCAAAATGGCGGACAGTTACTTAAAAGTCACCAGATTGGGCCGAAACTTGGTATCTACGTGTTCTCAAAATCACCGATTACGAATCCCAAGCTAAAATGATAGAAAACAAAATGCCGGATCCAAAATGGCGGAGAAACGTATTACAAAATTATTACATCGGTCTGCAATTTACATTTTCGAATTTTCCACGTCCCCAATTACTAATTCAGGCTTAAAATTACAGAAAACAAAATGGCGAGTTCAAAATCCTAGATAAAGTAAAAGATGCCAAACAAGCGGTACCAAAATGGCGGACAGTTACTTAAAAGTCACCAGATTGGGCCGAAACTTGGTATCTACGTGTTCTCAAAATCACCGATTACGAATCCCAAGCTAAAATTATAGAAAACAAAATGCCGGATCCAAAATGGCGGAGAAACGTATTACAAAATTATTACATCGGTCTGCAATTTACATTTTCGAATTTTCCACGTCCCCAATTACTAATTCGGCTTAAAATTACAGAAAACAAAATGGCGAGTTCAAAATCCTAGATAAATACGTCCCAGAAATGTTATATTAACCAAGAACCTGGTATTTTTAAATTTCCAGGCACGTTTCCCAAGCCCGCGAATTTTGAATTCCCAGAATCGCTATACCGAAAATTCTACGCGAGTTGCGGGAACCTGTACGAGATATCGCGGTGTCTAAATCGAGAGGAGGACTGGAATAGTCGCACGTGTTGCGTTTCGTGCCGCATCGTGTGCGACACGTAGCACGAAAGCGTAATCGCGATATATTTGTCGCAACGTTCATTCATATATTCAATCGTCGACGCAGATGTTCCATTCTTTCGCCTCCTTTCCTCCCCTCTCGCTTCGGAATTCCCTGATCGATTATTCATACGCGTGGAAATCGGCAGGTTCGCATGACCAGCGAATCTCGCGTCCTCGATCATGGATCGAAGCCTAGTAGCAGCCGCATCGATCCTGGAAATTCGTACACGTGTTCCGACGCAGTTATATAGTATTTACGAACGATGTCGCGGCCATATTTTAAGCGACTCCCTCGCGAGATAAATATTTCGTCAACCACGGTGTCTTTCTCGGCCATTTGTTCCTCGCGCGGTTGGTCCACGACTATTCCCTCGAATTTCCTTGCCAACGAAAATTCCATCACGGGAAGTATCTCGAGACGTCCATCTTCTCGCTCCAGCGCCACGATAGCGGCTAACGACGTTGGAAATAGCCTGATTCTGGCCTCGACTACGCTTTTCATCCGATTTTCGATATTTTCGGTTAAATATCGGAGCCTCGTGACACGTTTGTATAATATAATATCGTAAGCTGAAGAATTCTAAATGAAATAGGTTAGGTTTGGCAGTAGGTAACAAATATACACGTCTAATTGATCGTAGTATAGTTAGGTTCGTTCAAGATGAATCCTAGGTATGCTTTTCTACAATCTATTCACCCTTTGTAGTACGATTTAATTCTGAAAAATGGTTTATTGGAAAAACATATAAATTTAGCTGATCGTTGTGTGGTACTCATTGTCACAGAATGTGTGGTATGAGTGTGAGGAATATTTGTGTGGAAGAGTGTATCTGTGACGAGTATGACAGAGAGTGGCGAAGAAACGATCAGTAGGTGAATGACAGTCATTACAAATAGACGTTGTGTGCGAGAGAGTCCTCGAGAACTTATATCGCAGTTAGAAGAGAATTTATTTAATTACGAGATTTAGTTATAATTTATGTTGTGCTGTTATTGTGTTCAATAAATCTTCTTATTAGTTTATACATTCACTCACACGCTGTATTATTATTCCACTCACAAAATTAAAATTATTATAGTATCGTAGGCTTAAGTATCCTGGATGGAGGAGGATCATAAAAGAGACTAGAAATGATATAATATTTATTTATAGAAATAAATATTTATAGAAAGGCCTTTAAACCTACTATGCTACAATTATTTAAACAATTGTAGTAAAAACTAAGCAGTAAAGTAAATTCTACATTCTAGTGATATGGGGCTGATCCCTTCCCTTGGGTTTTGTCTTTTGTCTCCTGTTTTCGTGAGACATCCTGTGACCTGCGTGGCCCTAAACAGACCACTTCTAACCGTTCGCCCATTCAATAAAGATCTATACAGTTTTTCCACCGTTTCCACTGACAATTGCTATAGAATTTAGATAATCAGTGAATAGATTAATCCAATGGATATAGCACTGTGTGGATAGCTATACTCAGTACTGTATTGTCAATTGTCAATTTTTCTATTATTATTATTATTATTGATATATTCGTTAATCATTTTCCTTTGCGTTATAACCCCTTTAACATAAACAGTTTAAGTTATCACAAAAATTTCTAAATAGTTACATTCCTCACGAAACAAGATATATTTTGATAGAAAATTTGTCTCCAGATTTTTTGGTTTTCGAGATGTCCTCAAAAATATACTTTCAACCCCTAGCTTCGAGTATTTAGGGTGTTTTCATCCCTTTAATATGAATGATGGCGGATGAAAAATAGTACGTGTCGAATATTCTTCTGAGAACTATCTCTCACTTAAGTTTCATCAAATTCGGTATGTGCGGGTTGCATATGTTTCCTCGATAGATCACTCCTGGATCAAAGAAATTCCGGACACGGATGACGTGGGATCAATAAACGTTTCCCAGTGTTCTTCCGTTGCACATTATTCGCGAATCGTTGCATTAGGTGCTTGGATTGTGGATGATCTAGCGTTTCGTACGGTCCTCGTTCGTTTTTCGGCGGACACAGTAGCGCGAGTCAATAATAGCCGACACCGTCCACCGAATATCGCTGTTGCACTGCTTCCTCGAATTTCGTCTATTGTCGGGTCGAAGATGAAGTTTCATAATTGAATACTGAACCATTCTATCTTCCACTGACCTCGCTCTGTGGCACGGGGTTCGCGAGAATCCAGTGATACGAGTCTATAATATCCGGCGCTCGCTATCCTTGTCTCTACTTTATTGTCTTCCTCGTGTACGATTTCCGAGATTCTCCGTTCTTTCTCGCATTCTTTCGCGAGAACGACAATCGTTTCCAGGTGTGAAAGGGGGGAAAATAAAAGAATCGGGAAGGTGGAGCAGCGAAATTTTGACAAATCGTACTTCAATGGCGAATCGAATCTGTTGTGTCGCTGGTCTCTGAACTTCAATTTAAAATTGTACAATGGGGTAAATATAGAAAAATGTAATTGAAATGTTCGGAATTGGAAAGGTGGTGAATGTGGATCGTAATACCTTTAGGTGTTATGGTCCACGTAACACCAGAGATTTGGGTCATAACATCTTTAGGAGTTAGGCCTTCTATAACACCAAGGATTTGGGCCATAATACTTTTAGGAATTAAAATCTCCATAACACCAGGGATTTAAGTCATAACACTTTTAGGAAATAGGGTCGCCATAGCACCAGGGATTTGGGTCATAATATCTGTAAGAGTTAGGATCTCTATAACATCAGGGATTTAAGTCACAACACCTTTAGGAAATAGGGTCCCTGTAATACCAGGGATTTGAGTCATAACACCTTTAGGAATTAGGGCCTCTATAACACCAGGAATTTAAGTCATCACATCACCTTTAGGAAATAGGGTCCTCATAGTACCAGAGATTTGGGTCATAACACCTTCAGGAAATAAGGTTACCATAATATCAGGGATTTGGG